CTGGTCCATCTTGTCCTACGTTCATCGGCGATTTATCCTAGATCTGGAAGACCAAAAAGAAGTAGGAAAAAAATGATCAATCAATTTTAGCTGGGGCAGGGCCTGTCGTCTGGGCACCACAAATGCAGTGTGTTCTCCTAGCATTATTGTAGATGTGGCTGGTCTAAGGCAAGATTACAGGGAAAATTATATCTCTTCTTAGATCAACCCATCCTTTCAGAAAGACAGGCGAGTTCTCAAACACACAAGTGCTACTTCAAGTCTGAGATCTTTTATTGCTTCCATCTTAGCATGTGAATGTAAAAGTTGAAATTCACTGGGATATAGATAGACGACTAAGTATAATGCACTAAGTGAAAAAAAACAACCAAAACAAGGTGCTAAGTTTAAATGAAACAATACATATTTTTCCTTTTGCTAATAACTGTATTTATTAAAATATACTGTAACTTGGAGAATAACGAGAAGTCATTGTGTGAAATAAAAACTTTGGTTCTCAACACATGTACTCAACATATGGAATTCGGTACTCAAGGCAGAGAGGAGATACAGCAAGCGAGATGTTTTTTCACAAAGGTACTGTAAAAGTTTACAGAAATCACCTGAGAAGCTGTGTAGATTCAGAGAAAGTCTTAAATTTGTATAACAGATTTTGTATAACAGAGTTTTACACCTGAGCCTTTAGATCCTAAGCATCTGTGTGGCAGAAAAGAGGATTTGTGTTAGAATAAGAGGTTACACAGACTGAGAAAACACGTCGGTGTCTGTGATCTGAGAGTGAAATCCCTACTCATGATGTGTGAATCTGAAGGGAGCGACCCAGGGTCTAATTCAGCAGTTTAGGAGGCTATTTAATGCCTGGTAGCTGTTAAATAATCTTGGTCTAGTGAAGGTCAAACATTAAAGGATTAGCTTTAATGACTGGTATCTAGCAGATGAGAAGCAGTTTAAGATACTATTGTCTCTCAGCTGACTTTTGGCTGATTCTGGTATCTGATTGTTCTGGCATAAGAAAACTGGACCAGTATAGACCTGTGCAATGGGCATGAACTTGTTTTGTTGAACATGTCAATGAACAAGTGAATGAACTTGAAATTAGAAGGTGAATCACATAAATTTTTAGACCTATCCAGGTAGCATAATATATTGTATGCTTGCTTTATGTATCATTTTTCTTTGAAGATTAGCCGATTGAGTAATTTATCACAAACAACATATCAATGTAGGGATTTTTTTCTCTTGGAACTAACAAATACTTCCGTTATTTGACCACATGGCTTTATAGAGCATGTTTTATTTGCTTGGAACTTTTGAAGTATTTGATTTATAGATTAAAACAGGATGAAATTCAATGAATTACATTCTGGATACAGGTTAACAAGACAAACTGTGATGGCAAGGTATTGGGCTAGACAACTGCTTTTGACGAAAAAGCCGATTTTCTTGTTGGCGGTTGTTCGTAAAGAATTTCTTCATGAGTGTGTAGCAGATCTTTTATTCATGTGAAATGGACATGATAAAAGAGAAAAATCTAAAGCTCATTCATACCATCTTACAATAATATTCTTATAAGAGACGAATGCTTGAGGGAAAGGATGTATTTTCATCTCAAAATGCTTCACTTTTGCCTAGGAATGTGCATACACTTTCAATAAATATATCTCGAACTTCTGTTTGGTGTAAGAAAGATTTTGGAATGTCACCTTCACACCTGACGGTTCCTAAACTTTAATTTCATGAGCAGGAACAAATGGGCAGTTTTTTTGTTGAGTTCCAATCTCCAATGAATTCCAGTCTCCACCAGCCGTTTCTTAAGCAAAGCCTGTGATACTGAGAGCCCCTAACCAATATGACCAATATGATCCAGTCGTCTGCATGGAAAAAAAAAGGTTTGTTTTCCAGTCCTCCATGATCCACTGTCATCTGCGTGGAAAAAAAAAAAAGGTTTGTTTTCCAGTCCTCATGCTATAGTTAGCTTCATCTTAAATCTTGGCATGTAACTAGATAAAGTTTTCTTTTCAGAATGCTTCTTAGCAAATAGCACCTAGCTCCATCTCCTACAATGGAACCTGGAAAGTGAGGTTAGCAGCAATGGTGCAGTATATGGTGCTCTGTGTGTGTTGGTAGATCTGATGTCCCAGGGATTGCTCTTTGGTGCTGAAGCAGCTTGGTATTGAACAGCCTTTGTCTCTATTACTGACATTTCTTATTATCCAAAACACAGTGGCTGCATTTATCCTGCTTGTTGGGAATTATCTCTAAACTGTTCCAGTTTCCATAAAACGTGTGGATATCACTTTGGGGGAATAATATTTGGCACAGGCCAGACTCCATTGTTTTAAAGACACAAAACTGTATTTTCATTTAAATATACACTAACCGATGCACCCTGAGTAATTCTTTCCAACTGGCATTTAGCTTTGAAATCCTTGGGATCTATTTCTGAAGAACAGTGAGTGCCCTAAAGCTTGACTATTTTTTGAGCCATGCCATTAGGCCTATAAAAATTTCTACCTAAAGACTGTCTGAAACCATTGCTAGCAGCGATCACCTAGCACAGCTTCCAAAACACAGTAACTGCAAAAAATATTGTTCAGTCATATGCACCGTGAAAAACGGAAATCCACTTTAAAACTTGAAATATCAGTCTTGCCATTTTTCATTCTCAACTGTAAGATCTTTCTGACACTGGTGGAGACCAGTGTAATTTTCAGGTTTCAGAGGCGTCAAAATTACAATTTTAATGTTTGAACGTATTGTTAGCAAAGGGAGAGTCAATGACACTTGAAGTAGCTTTAGATACGTAAGAAAATGGCCTATATGCAATATCAGTATTGCTATAAATAGCCTGTTTCTTATATCTAACCAAGCTGAGATATATATACTCTTATGATATGCAAATATCGTTTTTCTAGATTCCTGTTCTACCACTTGGCTGAATTTTCCTCTGTTTGCCCTCTGCAAGCTTATTTGTGCAGGTATGCATGGAAATTAATTCACAAATGCATTAATTTCATGCAGCAAAATGCATGTTTTTGTCTGAACCCGCATCCTCTTGTAGCTATTCTCCTATTTCTGTTTGCTGATTTTCATATAGTCACTTTCATGAATTTGATCAGGAATTCTTCAGACCTTTGCTCTCTCGTGTACCTTCATTCTTCTCTGTCTTGCTTAACTTCTCCTAGCTCTATGTAACCTCTCGTTAAGCCTCAGTATAGCATATTTATTGTATCCCAAAATAATTCATGCTGTTAAATGAAAAATAAGACAAGCCTTCCACCTCTATCTCGTATCATCAAAGCGTTTTTGCCCCTCTCCAGCTGTCCTCATATCTCATCTGAAAAGAACATTTTTTCCCATGTCTCCAACATTCCATCTCTTTGTATTATTATTAATCATCTTTATTATGGCCTTATTTAATGTCATAAAGTCCCAAAGAGACTGATTCCAGAGCAATGAGGTGCCTTAGTTTATTTTTTGCAGTCTGTTGATAGTGCAAAGCTTTTGCAAGTGGAAATGGAGCACCATGCTGCCTGCTGGTGGGGCTGTGTTGGGGTTACAGAGGTTAGAGATGTCGGGAGATGGACCTATTCACATACCAGATTTGTGCATCTTGGGAAGATTGTGGCCTGATCCTGAGCTTGGGGTAGGCTGCAATGTCAGGGCTCATGGTGTGCTATGAATCCGAGTCCTGCTTCTACCCAGCCCTTGAGGGTTGTGATGTCTGCTGCGTGTGGTGGCCGTAGCAGCAGCGTAATGAGTACATTGCTGGCCCTTTCCTTCTGTGTTTTTCTTTGTTTGTTTGTTTTGTTGGGAATGGGAACCTTGGGCGATGTGTCCCTGCCAGAGTGATGAAGGAAAGGAGGTCTGGGGTCTGGGGAAAACTCCATTTTCTGCTTTCCACTGAACCCATTGCATCGTTGCCCCACGCAGGCAGTGTCTGCTGCTGGCCTGGTGGGTCTTGAACTCTTTGGATCATTCAGTGATTTTGACAGATGGCCAATGTGATCCTGGAGAAGCTGTGTGGGAGGGAAGTCAGACCAACGGTGGGAATAAAGCTGTAATTCAGGTGCCTCGTTTTCAGAAACTCTAATATCGGCCTATTAAGAACATGTGACTTTGAGAAAATACTGTCAAATCTGAAGGGAAATGTATAAAATCAGAGTTCAGGCATGAACAATAGTCCTCCATCAGGTCACTGAGGACAGTAGAGTCAAAAATGTTTTGTAAAAACTAATAAGATTTTCTTCTATCTTAGGGACTGCTGAAGTTGAGACCTCTTGGATTCTGCTTTTTTCATTTGTTAATAATTCCCATGTGCTACAGATATACTGAGTGCTTTATGAATATTTAGGAACATTTAGGAACAAGGGTTTTACTATGTCTGACATAGGCCAATGTCTTTGCCCTGAAAATCTCAGTCTGTTAAAATTTGAAGTTCCAACTCAACATATTTAAAATTTGTTTTGATGTCTTAAATTCAGCTTTTAGCATGTCATTAAGCTCACAGATGGACTTTCTGAACTCAGTGGTTGGAATTGGAGGTTTCTTGAAGCAACGACAAGCTGATGTCCTTAAGAAGTGTGAGTCAGAACTTGACGAGAAGTTGAATGTACAGATTTTCAAAGCACTCTCAGCACGCCATGGGCATTGAATTACTCAGGCATTGAAGTTGTCATATTGTCACTGTGGGCAACCCACGTGACATCACTTTCTGGGAACTGTCACTGTCTTGCAAGTTTTTAATACAATTGCTTTTTCTGTGTTGTGAAACCAACTGAAGTTAAGGGTTTTACTATGTCTGACATAGGCCACTGGTTTGGACTAAAGGACAGTAGTAAGTGAAAAACAGGGACCCTCGTTATGATCCCCTTCAAAAAGGATCGGAAATTGGGAGATCCGTTTCAGCTGAGTAGCTTCCTGGGTGGCTGCTGGATAGCACCATGATTTTGGCAGTAGGGATGTGACGCTGCCCTTCACCAAGGAACTGTCCAGCGTAGCTGGGTGAGGCCGGGCCTCTGTTCACCATTGCTCAGGGAGGCTGCTAGGCCTGCAGTCAGGGTCTTGTTGCTGAATGGAGATCGATTTAAGCGCTTGCCTAATTGCTTTGCCCTAAGAGGACTTTCACTCTGATCCGCAAGTAGTCATCTAGCTGCATTTGCAAGTTTTTGAATGTTGCCAATTGCCTTTAGTGACGGTAACGAGGCATTGCAGTGACTTGGCCAGTATCTGATGCAGGCTCTAGGGTGAGACCCGTTAAAGCATCGGGTACTTTCTTGGTAGTCACTCTCCTAGTTAGTAACGTTACAAGGAAACAGAATCTGCCTTTTTTTTTTTTTTTCTGGTGTTGCTGAGCTTGTGTTCTTGGATGTAGGCAACTCTTTGCTCTTGTTGTTCACATGGCAAAAAGAGAAGCTGTTTTGCTTCCTAGTTGTGCTTTCTTCAGTGTTGATGGTGCCAATAATGGTGGTCCGGCTGTCAAGAAGTGCTGTGAGCAGCTGAACGCAATGAAAAGCAAAGCCCAGAAGTGTAACATTGTACTTCTGCATGGGTTTGGGAGCAGCCGTTTAGGTAAGGATGGCCCTACAAAAGCATTCGTTGAAGCTCTCTCATTGAGACTTCACTGAAAACTCTCTTGAAAAAGCTAAGAACCTACAGAGTGAGTTTGAGAGACAAATTGGAAAGAAAAAGACGTCTTAAATGTGTAAGAGTCATTTAACTGAAGCAGTGAGGAGAGCTTAGATGTTGTTCTAAACAATTAGAACAACTCCACTGTAGTAGGACTTTCTTTAATACAAGAACATGAATACAAGAACTATAGATTAAAGGGGGAAGAAGTTCAGTAAAAGTCATTCAGGGTCCAAATTCTTCCTCATTTCTTCTTCACTTTATTTCCTACTTTCTCATTTTCTTCCAAATTTTTCACCCTTCCTGCTTCCCAGTCCTTCTGTCACTGATTCTTTCTATATTTCTCTCTCAGTTTTCTCCTTGCCCTCTTCTTTTCCCCTCACTTTGTCTCTTGCTCTCATTATCCTATCAGACTCTATTTTTTCTAGTCATGCACTTATTTTCCTACCATTTTCCAGAACTAAGCCTGCATGTGGCATGGCCACAGCAGCTACAGTGACAGTGCTTATGTTGTCTCCAGTGGCTGAGCTTCAGGATGTTGAAGCGAGCCATAGAGATGTATCTCAAAGCTCGTGCCAGCTTTAGCATTTGGTTATTCTTTATGGTCATTCAGGGTTCAATCTGTAAGCTCCTGTGTGTTACCATCAGTCAAGAGTAGGGTTGTAACTATCAAGAAAGAGCAGTTTAGGGAAGGTCCAGGAAGAGCTAACTTATGATGTTTTGGGTTTGAAGTTAGGGCATTCATAGAATCACAGGATCATAGAATGCTGAAGGTTGGCAGGGACCTCTAGAGATCATCTAGTCCAACCCCCTGCACACGCAGGGTCACCTAGAGCACGTGGCACAGGACTGCGTCCAAGCGGGTTTGGAAGATCTCCAGAGAAGGAGACTCCACAACCTCTCTGGGCAGCCTGTTCCAGGGCTCTGTCACCCTCACTGTTAAGAAATTTTTCCTTAAGTTCCTGTGGAACTTTTGATGCTTCAGTTTGTGGCCATTACCTCTAGTTCTGTCAGTGGCCACCACTGAAAAGAGACCAGCACCATCCTCTTCATTCCCTCCCTTGAGGTACTTATAGACACTGATTAGATCCCCTCTCAATAGAAAGATAGGCTAATAGATACAGAGAAAACTAGAAAGATAGGAAGTAAGAAAACAATGTTTGAGATAAGAAAAGTTTTGAGATGGCTAGCAGCAAAAATTGACTACAAAATTATCTGATCGAAGACTTCAAGTTCAAAAGGAATTTCTGCACATACTTGTCTGCCTAATTGTAGTATTGATAGCTGTGCTCTGGAAAAAGCAGTGCTGGGTGATTGCAAGAGGTACTGGGTGCTCTTGTGTGGTTAAAAGATGGGAGTATCTACTGGAGAGACAGCTTTGCTTAAAATGCCATGCTTGTGCAAAAAAACAACAGCCCCAATACCATAGAATAATTAAGAGAGTGACAAGAAAATCCGTACTGTTTGCTAAAAGGTTCTACCTAATAAAATGTTTGCAAAAATGGGGTAATAGTTAAAGGATGATAAAAATATCTGTATGAATGCTTTGTTAACTTAAAGTAAATGCTTTTTATTTTGTAAATACTGAAGCAAACGAAACTGAAATCTTTCATACCAGCTTCAGAATGGTGAAAAATTTACTAAATATTAAATAAAATGCATCCTTGTTGATTACTTCATTTATGTAAAAGGAGATCTCTTCTCCTCTAAAATAGTATCATATTCTAGATGTATGCGACCATAAAACTAATGCCTAAAAGTAGTGTCTAACAATATGAAGAGTTTGCAGAAGCCTTGTAAGGGCTGTAAAACTCACAGGATCATTCCCAAATCAGGATATATATTAGCTGGGATTATAAAAATTAATCAGCGTTAGTTGAGAAGGTTTTGCTGATTGCAGACATTAAAATATGCACTCATTTGATGTCTGTCTTCAGCAGTAGTCTTAACAACATCAAGGAAAGAATGTTGGATCTGAAAACTGCCTTTTCTAATTTGCTCCTAGCCTTCCATAATCAGGAGAAAAGCCAGTAAAATAGTTAGCTTGCCCTGTTTCGTAGTGGCTTGTCTCCTCTTTCTTGTGCTTTCCAGCATGACAAGTGGGTACCTAACCAGATTACCATCTCATACATGTGAAACTGCGTTTTTAGTATATACTTTAGGCTGTTTTCTAAAATCTAAATCAAACTCTTGGTTGATGGTGAATAAACCAGTGTTGTTTAAAAAGGAGGCCTGCAGTTCTACTACAATCTCAGCTCTACAAAGCTTTTAGATATTGTGCTTGTTATAGATCGTGTGGGCTCTGCTAGTTCCATTCTTGTTGAATAATGGGTTGTTAAATAGTTTCTGAAATACAGATAGCTCAAAACTTGTGATAAGACCTTTCAGGCCACTTGTACACGCAAACCCTAGGTATTCAGTATTCACATTATAGTTTTCTGTGCAAGTTTGGGGAATCTATTAAAATGATACAGCAGCATAAATGTCAAATGCAGACAATGAAAAGCCAAATGTAATTTTGACTACTGTCCCTTTGCATAAATTTATGTAACGAGATTGTACTAGAAAATTCAACATACCAGTTTCTCTTAAATCCTATGACAAAATAGCTTCATGGCATGCCAAACTATTCCCAAGCATTACCAAAACTTTATAATAAAATTTAAAGTTTGCATCCAGACTTTCTACTTGTTATAACTGCACTGGCTAAGCTTTGAAGGGTAGGAGCAGGGGGGAAGTAGTCCATCCTGTCTCAGCTGACACCTAGTTAATTTAGATCAAATCAAGAGGTATTGTGTTAAATGATAATGTTAAAAAAAAATAAAGAATTACTGGACATCCAAAAACATCAGTCCATGATATAGTCCCTAAAAACTACAGTATGTTTTTCTAGTTTGACATTCCTTGCCATAGCTTTAAATCCAACACCAAAATGATAAGCATCTTTAACATGTAGTTTTATATCTTGGGCATGGAGCACCATAAAACTTAGATCTGTATAATTCTAATTCAATCCTGCTAATCTTCCTTAACTGGGCTATAAATAACATCACTCCCTCGCTCTTTAAAATAAAAGCTAGGTGAAAAAGAGGGAGGGAAAGTCTGCAAATAACTCCCGGGGTGCGACCTCTTCCATCTATCAAGACTCCAGGTAGATAAGGGAGTTTCGCCCCTCCAAGTGCCTGCCCCCTCAAACAGCTCCCACATGGAGCCTGGGCAGGGGCTGATACGTCCAGTATTTTCCTGGTTCTCCACGATATCTGAAGAAAACAGGAAAAATGGAAGTGTGCTGAGGGCGGTTTATCTTTGTAAGCAAAGCCCCAGTCACCTTTTCACTAGCAGAGCGGTAGAGCTCCGCCACTCTCCTAGAGAATGTTATTGCCTTGAGTCGTAATATTTCACACAAAATAATCTTTTACTTGAGGAAAAATGTACTGAGGCAACATTCGGAGCACTGTGTCTTCATCAGTTGTGTTTTCTGGTATGACTTCAAGCTTGTATCCCAATGTAAGCAGCTAACACTACATATGCAATTGTCAAAGTAATGGGTAGTTAGTTGACATATCTCATAAAACAAAGATGAAATTAAAATGAAGTACAATCTGAAACTTTTTATATGATTTTTGTGCTATTTTAAAACTACATAACCTTTTCTGACAATCATCACCCCGTAATGGAAATGGGCAAACATGGCTGGGGAAATAAAGACAAATTACTTACAAACATACCTTACCATTCTGAAGAAAATTCAAGTTTCACATTATTTTTCCTGTTTCAATTTCAGAGCATCTACATGATAGGCACCCACTGCAGAGATGACGCATTTGGTTCTGTTAAATGATTTCTTATGCAGAACATAGTGGATAAACTAAAAAGTGGGAAATACATCTCGGTGTTCTCTTCCCTTTAGGCTCTGCTAGCTGCTTTGGTAGGTGGAACTTCAGTTCTGTGGGTTAGAACTGTGGCTTTTTATTGCTGTTGGTTGGGTTCTTAGCATATGTTGAAGTACGGATTATTGTTGTGGCAGCAGAGCTGGGAGGATCACGGTGCAGCCTGAAGTTAGTGTTGCTTGAGCTTTCTTAGTATATTAAGGGATGATGTGGAAAAGAAACAAAATCAGATTGTGAAATGATATCTGTGGTGCTGGTTAGTAAGCCAGTTTGCTGGCTTTATGAAAGACTTTCCATGTATTAAGGATAGCCAGTTTGCCCTTATGAAAGACTTTCCATGTATTAAGGATTCCACAAAGTAGCATTGTAAAAAGTAGGTGAACCTTGAAATATTTCTGCTTTGATGAAACTACAACATATGTGTTTGGTGGACTTTCACTCTTGATTTCAGAATTCCAAAAATGAGGAACACCTGGTATTTCTTGGGAATTT